ATGCAGCAACTCTGAGGAAGTTTGTCAGTCAGTCACACAGAGGTATATTTACCCTGGTAAGCTGTTATTTTCTGACTGAGTTGTAGCAAACGGTCATTCTCTCTTTGCCCTCATTTTCTTTTCAAACCATGGTGTTTGGTTACTCTTGGTAGATGTAGTATATTGCACAGCCAGTACAATGTAGGTCTCTGTTGTACAAATGCATTATGGGGTCTGTCATAGCATGTCTAATTGATTAGCAAACTCCAACACATGCTACTCTAAGTCCTGTGCTTTGCATTTCATGGGTGGTATTTTTAACTTTTATAGGTTACCTGCTCTGTTCTGCTAATGACATTCACATCTGTTTCTCCCTCTCTGGCAGTGTATCTTGGGTAACAATGAATGGGCTCTATTGTCTTTTGGCTGTTAATGTGCAGAAGATAAATTCTTTTCTGAAAGTAAATACCATTGAAACCCAAATACTTCTCTTTGGACCTGATTAATTATAAAATTCTGTATCTTTCTTTCCTTTGCCACTTAACTGAAATATTGTGTCAACATCACATGTCAAGTTGCCGAGGGTAATTTTGGTCTTGGACTCAATGCTGGAACATAGTCAATATGTCACCAAATGCATACCAGGACAGTTGCCAGAAATACGCCCTTTTCTATCCACAGCTGACCTGGAGACTCTAAGCCATTCATTTATAACATCAAGCCTTGACTACTGTAATTCTTTGTTTGCTGGGCTCCCTGCCAAATTGATTGGCAGACTCCAGCTTATTCAGAACTCAGCAGACAGGCTTTTGACTAAGACCAGGCTAACTATGTACATTCTTCCTGTCTTGGAGTCCTTATTCCAAAATCATGTTTATGTTGACTGTAAAATTTCCTTTCAACGTTAATTTTATGGGTGAAATCCTTCTTTTATTTTCAGTATCACTTGTCATGCATTTTAAAATCTTTCTAAGATAAATTGCTGCATATTCCATTATTCCACCTACAATCGTTTCGTGTGTGGACCATTTCATTCTATACCCCTCAATTTTGGAATTAGTTGTCCATGATATGAGTTCTGATTTTTTGTTTTGAGTTTAGGCCAAGCTGGATTCTATTTAGTTCATTGTTTCCTTTTATTGTAAAGTACTGTGAGACATTCAGTTGCCTATGTACATTTTTATTGCATAAAAGGAATAAGATCTTCATTTATGCATAATAATCAATGAAATATCAAGCAAAGCACAATTTGAGTTGCTTGTTCTTGTCAGTGGAACTTCAAGATGCAATTTCAGCCTTAACTTGTGTAGGTGGTTGAAAGAATGTATTTAATGTGCATAGTGGAAAACAAATGTTCTCCCATAGTCTCCCTATTTACAGAACTGTATAGACCTTTACCCCCATCTTTTCTCCATTCAGTAAACTTGCTATGTTATGGCATATTTTCTACTGTAAATATTCCACTTCTCCCTAAGATCAGTCCTCTTTGTCCCTACATCCTTAGATTTATAGTTCATATATATATATATATATACTGTACATTTAAGAGGAATATCATAATTTGGCCCACTTTGTTTATGGCAACAAATATTGAACAATGATGATGTAAGTATCTCTTTAATATGCCTAATATAAGTTTCCACCAATTATAAATTATTTTGTAGTAATGTTGCAGTTGTGAACCATTAGCTGACACCTACATATCAACTCTGGTTTTCAGGGTTTAAAACTCAGCAGAAAAACAATAGTATAATAATCCTTTGTGTGAAACACACCACACAAAGTATCGCAAAGCCTTAGAGTGAGTTTTTAGGAAAATTGGAAACAAATCTGAATTATATTGAAGGACAAAAAGAATTGGGGTTTTTGCATCCTTCCAGAACAATGATATTCTTAAAATTAAATTTGGCCAGTTACCTATATTCTCTCTCAACAAGAAGCAATTTTGCATATGGCTAATGAAATTTTTGTTATATAATTTTATACAGATGTTTGTTGGTGAATATTTAATGATACTTAATAATAATACAAAGCACTTATACTCTACAGTGCTGTTCACCCTCAGAACTGAAGGAACTTTACAGAGATGGGTAAGAATTATTAACCCCGTTTTACAGGTAGGGACCTTGGCCATGTTACACAGTGGCTGAGCCAGGGTCAGTAGTTAGACAGGGAGCACCTCTTGGCACAGTTCCTCCAGGAACTTCAGGGGTCAAACCAAGGTTGAGGGCCTTAGATATTTGTGGCCAAACTTCATCCCTGAAGGAAGGATGAGTAAACTGGAAGTGAGAACTCTGGAGCAGATCCTCAGCTGATGCAAATTGTCATAACTCCATTGGCCCAATTGTCTACAATGGAACCATGACAATTTGCGCCAGCTGATGTTCTGCCCCCTGAGTAGTCTCTGTATGGCAGAGAATACATTCATATAGGGAAGAGTTAGGCTCAGAGGGCCAGATTTTTAAAGGTATTTAGGCACCATGGGAGTTAAGCATGTAGTCACTTCTGAAACCCCACTAAGCACCTATCTGCACCTTTAGGCACATAAATAGCTTTACAAATATGGTTCTCTGAACCTGATATCTCCTGTATGGGTTTACTCTAAGCTGAAGCTGAGAAACTTAAAGGGGTAGACCCTCAACTGGTGCAAACTGTCATTGCTCGATTGAAGTCAGTGGAGCCTCTCTGTATTTCCAGAGACTTGACTTCGGCAAATAAAGTCAATAGAATTTTTGCCAGAGTGAAGACTGCATGATTGGGTTCCACATATCCATATTCAATTATTTTAAAAAAATGAAAATAACTAAGTATTATAAGAGCTAATATATAAATGTTAGGAAATTCAAAAGTCCTCCTGTCACATCTACGGATGAAAAGCGCTATGAGTGCTAAGTATTATTAATTGTTATGTTAATTATAATGGGCACTTAGCATTCTCTCCTAGTTTTTTCCCTTTATTTATATCCAGAGCTGTAGCTTGGAAAATATTGTGCATAACCACTTGACTTTTTTAGTTTATTGCACACTTAACATTTATTTTTTGATTTATTTCTTGAACACCTGAGAATTTTGATCATTGAAGAAGGCCTCCCATACACTCTTCACTTTGCCTATAAAAGAAAGATAGGAAATCTCTGTGATCTCTTTCTGCCTTGAGTTTTCACTGAAGAGAGCCTCTGAAATGATCAGATAAAGATTTCTGATAGATGTTAGCACCTGTAGAAAGAACTTTTTAATTAAACATTTAAAAGTTCAAAGGTTTCTACAAAATTCAGATGATCCTATTAATACCTTTTAGTGGAAAATGGTAAACCAGGATTTCTTATATCTTTGTGAATCCTTTCTACTTGAATTTCCATTTGCTAATTAAACACAGATTGTTAATTAAGTAGGATTCTTTGTGCACCGGGGTCACTAATGCAGCATAACCATTAAATTCTAGCCTTCATTTATATACATATAATCATGGGTACACTAATCTTTTTAAATTAATTTAATAAATATATACATTTTAATTCCATTCCTATATAACTCTACCTTTGGAGCCAAGCAAGTGTTAATATGCTGAAATTATTGTGACTCCAGTCAGAACTTGAACCAGAATGCCATTCCAGTACTCCTTAAACAGCCTATCTAGTTTAAGCAGAGTTTAAAATTTCATTAAACATATTTATTGCTGTACTTTTAGCAGTTAATTAACCAGCCTTGGTGGTTTTAAAGAAAAGCTTCCTCATGTGACTCAACCTAGTGTTGTCTTCCTGAATCTGGAAATAGCTTGGAACAATAGTGCAAAGAGAAGCAAGCCGTTTGTCTGTGTGATTAACTCTTGAGTCTGAGGATGAAAGTTTAAATACCAATATTGCTAACTGTTTCACTGTTGATCATTTTAGCAGAAACATCCATGGCCTTATACATTGGTTTGACATCATAGAAGTCAGAAATGAAAACAACCTATTAAATTGTCTAGCCCATTCTAGGGAAGCCAATGCAGAATTGGCTATACTGTATTCTCCAAGGCTGAGGTCTAGTTTACACTAGAACGTTAGGTCAACCTGCTACATTGCTGAGGAGTGTGAAAAATTCACACCCCTGAAGAGACATCATTAAGCCAATCTAAGCCCCAGTGTAGACAGCACCAGGTTGATGGAAGAATTCTTCCATCCACCTAGCTACCGCCTCTTGGAGAGGTGGATTTACTACAGCAATGGAAGAACCCCTCCCATCGCTGTAGTAAGTGTCCCCACAACAGCACTGCAGATGCAGCACTGCCGCAATGCCACTGTAATGTTTCTAGTGTAGACATAGCCTTAAAGTCCCACGATTTGAAATGAATCACAAGGGGAGAGGAAAACAGCAACTAAGTATGTGGGTGAGGTAAGATATGGAGCTACCAGCTCAGGTGGCGCAGGAAGTGGGACATGAGCAGAGTTCCACCGTCCTTTCCTTGATTCTAGTAGGCTTTAAAGACAGAACATGGTAGCTTTACAAAACAGATAATGCTAGTTTAGCCAACGAATCCAGAGAGATAAATCATAGAGAACTTCACTACAAAAATGGTGCTTATTCAGGTTAAACTGACAGACCAGCACAACAGCTCAGCTGTTGGTCTGGTTTAATACAAAGTTCTAGCTTCACGGGCCCTCTTTGGGATAATGTCATTAGAGTGGGGGCCCACCTCACACCTTGCCTCTAACACGTCTTCCTCCTCCACACAATCCCCCTCCCCCAACATTTATATGGACATACACACAGCACACAAATTATGCACAAGAGGCAACTGCATGCAAATTCTTCAGTATATGTTTGTAGATTGTATAGACTAAAGTTATGGAGACAGACTTGAAGGGAGACATCTCCAACATTGGTAAAATGTAAGTACAAAAGACACATGATTGGATGGATATTGATGATGTTATTTCAGTAATGACATCATCCATAGACTCCTAGTGTCTTTGCTTTGCTTCTCTATAGTGATCACAACATAAATTGCTTGTCTTGTTTGACTTCCTTGTTCACCAAAGTTGAGCAGATTGTGGCCGTTTTCAACGCTTCTACCAGACAAAAAGCTTGGGACCATTTCTCGAAAGCTCAGCGAAAGAACATAGACATTTGGCGAAAGCATTCTGAGGTTGGTGATTTTATTATTACTTTTTATCCATCATCTCACAGCTGGATTGACACAGAACAAGTGTGACTGTAGCTGGACATACAGCATTCAGCAATATTTACAGCTGTAGTTTTAGCAGTTAATCAGCTAGCCATTATACTATCTCATTTACAGTATGTATTGCTCCCATTGCTCCCATTACAATAAATGTTGTTAAATAACACTAAGTTGGAGAGCAATGTGTTTTTATTTTTCTTTTACAAGAAATGGGAAATCATTGGAGGAATATGTTTACCACTCTGAAATAATGAAAAGAAATGGAGAAATTAGCGAAGATATTTAAAATAAATACATTTTAGAATTAAGTCTTTCTCATACTAAACGATACATTTTTAGGAAGGCACTGAGATTTGTTAAATAAAACAGATATATATTATAGATATTTGTTCTGGTTGTATCATTATATGGCCATAGTAATATGACTTTGTGGAAAATAAAATAAAGATTTCTTTTCTTAATAATCAGTAAAGTGTATTCAGTCCAGAGACGGGAGGTACTCTTTCCCATCTATTTTATGTCCATCTTTAAAAACAAATCAATCGCTTGTATTGACTCTAAGTTCATGGCTGGCAAACACAGCAGTATAAATGTAATAATAGTACACATTAGGGTGACTATCCAAGTCCATGCATGTGTGACTGTCATAAGCATGAGCAAAGAAAATGAGAAAAGAGATCTGGGATTCCACTTTCCTTTACACGAGTGTCAGCAAAGAAAGTAGTAGTCCTGTTTTGTGTTATTGGTCATCCAGCTTTCGATTTTAATTCAGTATATACGCTATGAACCCGCAATTTAAAAGTAAGTACCGCTGTCTTTGTTTTCTTTCTTTTTTATATAAAAGTAATTTACATACAGTTACTTATTTCCTGTAGTACAGTATGTTAATTGTTAACATTACAGTCCTCTAAATGATTTTCCTGTCTCAAAGCAAAAACTATAGAAGGTAAGATGAACTTATTTAATTATTTTGTAGTACACTTGTAAAATAAGTGTTGCACACTTAGTTTGAGAAACACTTAAGTGCTGTGATATAAATCATTTGGGTTGTGTTTTAAGTGCCCATTAACTAATGCTAAATTACAGTTGAATACCAATGGCACTAGATGTAACATCCACATGAATACCAAATGAATTTTTATTATCAGTGCTATTATGGCGAATACCAAATGACTTCACAATAATGGGATACTTAAAATAAAATGTTAGAATAATTTATTGTTAAGAGCTGTATTTTGCATTTCGTTCATAAATAATTCAAGTGGGTGGCAAATAAAGTCTTTGTTTAACTGGAAGTTGGGGATGTGGGTGTTTTCTTTCTTGTCTTTTAGGGAGATGTGAAAAGTGGTTTTCTGTTAGTTTATTTCAACTATGTTAAAGTGATAAGAAAATAAGAATGGCCATACTGGGTCAGACCAATGGTCCATATAGCCCAGTATCCTGTCTTCTGACAGTGTCAGTACCAGATGCTTCAGAGGCAATCATCAAATTGTCCATCTTCTGACATCCACTCCCAGCTTCTGGAGGTCAGAAGCTAGGGATACCCAGAGTATAGGGTTGCATCACTGATCATCCTGGCTAATCCCCATTAATGGACCTATCCTCCATGAATTTATCTAATCCTTTTTTTAACTCCGTTATGGTTTTGACCTTCACAACCCCCTCGCAACTTGTTCCACAGGTTGACTGTACATTGTGAGAAGTACTTCTTTTTGATTGTTTTAAACCTGCTACCTATTAATTTCATTGGGTTACCCCTGGTTCTTGTGTTATGTGAAGGAGTAAATAACACTTCATTGTCCACTTTCTCCACACCATTCATGATTTTGTAGAACTCTATCATATTCCCCTTAGTCATCTCTTTTCCAAGTTGAAAAGTGCCAGTCTTTTTAATCTCTCCTCATATGGAAGCTGTTTCATACCTTTAATCATTTTGTTACCCTTCTCTGTACCTTTTCTAATTCTAATATATCTTTTTTAAATATGGGGTGACCAGAACTGCACACTGTATTCAAGATGAGGGCTTACCATAGATTTATATAGTGGCATTATGACATTTTCTGTTTTATTATCTATCCCTTTCTTAATGGTTCCTAACATTCTGTTAGGTTTTTTTGACTGCTGCTGCACATTGAGCAGAGGTTTTTAGAGAATTATCCACAGTAACGCCAAGATCTCTCTCTTGAATGATAACAGCTAATTTAAATCCCACCATCTTGTATGTATAGTTGGGATAGATTTTCCAATGTGCATTGTTTTGCATTTATCAACATTGAAGTTCATCTGCCATTTTGTTGCCCAGACACCCAGTTTTGTGAGATCCCTTTGTAATTCTTCACAGTCTATTTTGGACTTAACTAGCTTGAGTAATTTTATGTCGTCTGAAAATTTCGCCACTTCACTGTTTACAGATCATTTATGAATATGTTGAATAGTACTGGTCCCAGTACAGACCCCTGGGGGACAGCACTAATTACCTTTCTCCATTCTGAAAACTGACCATTTATTCCTACCCTTTATTTCCTCTCTTTTAACCAATTACTGATCCACGAGAGGACCTTCCCTCTTATCCCATGACTACTTACTTTGCTTAAGAACCTTTGGTGAGGGACCTTGTCAAAGGCTTCCTGGAAGTGCAGGTACACTTTATCCACTGGATCACCCTTGCCCACATGTTGATTGACCCCCTCAAAGAATTGTAATAGATTGGTGAGGCATGATTTTCCATTACAAAAGTCATGTTGACTCCTCCCCAACAGATCATGTTCATCTATGTACCTAGTAATTCTGTTCTTTCCTATGGTTTCAGCTAGTTTTCCTGGTACTAAAGTTAGACTTACTGGCCTGTAATTGCTACTGGATCGCCTCTGGAGCCCTCTTTTAAAAATGGTGTCACTTTAGCTATCCTCCAGTCATCTGGTACAGAAGCAGATTTAAACGATCCCTTCTTAAACTAACTTTTCATGCGGGGACACATCATATCATTCATTTGCTGGCTTTTAAATTTATTTAAAGTAAAATGCCTAAAAGTAGGACTTTCCATAAATGTTAATTCACAAAACATCTTTGCTTATTTGAAAGTTGTTGCTCTTTTTTTCTTTCTGGAGAAAGAAAACAATCAAAAATAACTTAAGAGGTTCTGAAATCTCTGGTTGAGGGCAATGTGTATGGACAACTCCTATTTCTCAGTTGTAAAATACTATGCATATGTCAACAAATAGCTCTCTTGATTCAAATCATATTATTTGATTATCCCTCCTTTGCTAAGGTGCTTACATTTCCCTTGTCACCTCTCCTCACTATGTGTGCTTTTCTGGAAACAAAAAGAAAAAAGGGACCTCTTTGAGGTTCCCAGAGAAGATTATTGTTTGGCTGCTAAAGACAGTTTTGAAATAGATGCTCCTGGGACATTTACAGTCTAAAATACATTAATCATTTGGTTTCTAAGAAGATAAAGCATACTCTCCAGTAAAGAGTGTTTGTGGCTCTTTTCAATATGGAATTACAAAGTGCTTTATGAATTTCTGTCTTAAATGCAATTAATTCATTCAATACTGGTTTTCAATTTACCATTTTAGTCATTTTTCTGAATTTCAAATGATTCCCGTGTAAAACACCCATTAATTAGCCTCTCTGCCTTTGCAGTGATTAACAGATACATATACCTTTATTATAGTGTATGACATTTACTGATGAACTCTAGGCACAGCCCCAAGGAAACACCCTCCTTTTTTTTCTCCCTCCCACTATGAGAGTTTGTTGTTAATTACATGGGTAAATAGTTGGAACCTTCAGCACTATTTATTCCTTCCATTGACTTTTCCTTATTTCAAAGATTTCAAACCATCTCTTTGGGAATTGGGCTCTTTGTCGATAGAAAAATTAGCTGTCTGCCGACTGAAAAGCTCTACACTAATCACCGTGCCACATCCCTGTGTTACACCTGACAGTATTATTAGGACAAAATAGAATTCTCTCAGTCTTCTCTGTGCTGCAACCATTCAAAAGCCAGTCATTACACCAATATTGTCCTGTTTTATCTTTTGAGGACAAAGACACTCTGGACTTTCATAAAGCCCACATGCTTGCTGATCACTTACTTAGTTACATACATACAGGCTCCCTGCCTGTCTGCCCTTTCAGGGTTTTTTTTTGAGAATAGGCTGTTAGCTGTCATTTGTTTTATATCAAGATGCAGATGTTACCAAAAAAGATGTTTCTATGCTGAGAATTTAAAATTTGTGGAAATTGGGTTTACCGTGGTGCAGGCATAGAAATCTAGGGCTTATGAGAGTTAAAGCTTAGTATTTTTTTAGCCAACTTGATAGCACCTTTATACATCCATTTTACATGCAGTATTAAGTGTTGCCATTACTGAAATATATCTGCCTGGGTAGGACTGGTAGTAATTTAACAAGGGGAACTCATCTTCTCGGTTGTTTTTTTCCCAATGGTATATTTGACATATTCAGTTATTTAAAATATTTTAACACAAAGAACTCCATTCCCTTCAATTTGAGCCCTTCTAACTCTGAATCTTGTGCTGATTCTGTACTAATATTCATGGGTTATTTATATGTATTTTTTAAAATATCAGAATATAACATTTAAATTGGTTGTTTAGAAATAGAGAGATCAGTTCATGGAAGTCAATACTGATCTAGGGTCATCTTGGGTTTTAGGAACTCCGGAATGCTCACAGCGAACAGCTCATGGGGATCCGCCGTGAAGAGGAGATGGAAATGTCTGATGATGACAGCGGTGACAATCCCAGCAAAAAGCTGAGAATAGATGAATCAGGTAAAGTTGAAACCCTTCACAATATCCTATCAGATGTCAAACTGTTCGTTTCAAAACGAAGATGAGTGATAGAAAATAGTTATATAACATAGAATATCTACTTTTAATTTAATTATCCTTACATTTTGTCTTTGTATGACTCTCACTTGTATCTATAGTGCTTCTGTCACCTTCCAAGAAACATACTCATCAGAATGCTCCAGTTCTTTCCATAGTTGCTTCCATTTTGGGTCTTTCAATAAGGTTCTTCTCATCTTCCAAAACTGTATTTCATTCCAGGATAGTAATAATGTCATATTTAAATAAAAGCAGCTGAAATTGTGTTTCATTCAATATTCTTTGAACCTCACCTTTTCTTTCCAGCAAATATATTTACATGTATATTATCCGAATTTTCCATGGAATTAACTCTTAAAGACACACATTTCAAAGTGTGGCACTAGATATGCATTAATTGACACTCTTGCTTATCATGAAAAGAAGAGCAAGTACACTTGATATATTTCAGCTATCCCAGTATAAACAATTCAGGAGGTGGATATTGGGCTGACTCAATGACTTCTGAGTAACTGGTATGCACTACGGAAGGGAATACCTTGGTTTGAATCCTTTCTTTGATTTCTTGATCTTCATGTCAGCAATGGGTTAGAGAGTTGTGAGGGGCTGACAAGGGTTGAGCCCTGTGTTAGTCAGCATCAAGAAGGAAAGCCTTGCAGAAGGCCTAGATGAAGCTTCATTGCCAGACAGAGATGAGGTATATGGGCAAAGATGGGGCAAGTTATATGTACAAACTCAAGACGTTAACAATGACACATTTGACCTAAACGTCTGCACACAGGTTCCAGATTCTATGACCTGACCCCATTTCTCCCATCATGGATGGGGTCCTATGTCTGTGCATGTATACACATATGTGTGCTTACAGATATGCAAGAGAAAAGTGATTACCGCACAGGTGCCAGTGGCTATGGGAGGTTAAAGATCTCCAGAAATAAAGACTGAAAAGTAGGATACCATTCTGGAAAGAAACTTTCACTATGAACAGGAAAAGGGCACTTCTACTACAGGAAAAAATGGTTTTCAGAAAGATAGATGGCTATAATAAACGCTCCTGTGAGCAGCTTTAATTTCTGCTTAAGATAATTGTATGGGATTGAGTTTTCTAGTATTCATTAGTAGAGTGATTGGAGCTGACACAGTGGCTCTGTGGGCATAGTATTGCTGGCAATCACAGATTCTTATGAACATATAATCATTTGCCTTGGCATGTCCAGGCTTATGGAGATAAATAATTATAATTAACAATAACCAAAAAAGGTGAGCAATGCCAACTCACTGGACTCAAGAAAAATAATTATACTATGAACAGTCATACTTAATATTTCATTGTGTTTTAACAAATAAATGCTTAGGTTGTGGTACAGTTCAGCCATTGTGCATCATATTAACCAGTAGAAAATATGTGGGGTTTTTCCAGTAGTGAAAAGATATATTTTTCAGTAGGTTTGTTTTGTTTATTTTTAGACAAAAAACAGAGATTTCTGTGATTCTCCCTCCCCTGCTATTTTAATTGATTTGAATTGATCTCTTATTATTGTCTTGGACGGATCATTCACATTCATAATATCATTAACAGTTTTTCTAATACATTACATACAAAGTGCAAATTCAGTGGTATAAATCAAATACAGTGGCCATCCAAAGCCATCACTAGTGTAGCTCTCTTGACTTCAGCAGAGTTACACCAGGGTTCAATTTATCCCAGTATGTAGTTGATCGAGCCTGTTCTCTATGAAGAATCACCCAATAACAAAACTAGATTTTACCATTTTCTTTTTCCAAGATTAGACTTTAAAATCAATGTTTTGAATCTCCTCTCACTTATGCTAGTGTCAACTAAGAGTAACTATTCAAAACCAATGAACTTACTCTAGTATAAAACTTGTCTGAGAGGAGAATCAGACTCTGCTTGTTGACTGTTCACCCTTTCTATTAGTCAGGATCCTCACCCTCCTTTGCTGTAGATTTCAGGTTTTTTGTTTTTGTTTTTTATTTTTTTGCTTGAATATGTCATTCCTGACCCAACTAGTAGCATAGTAAAAGTATATAATTTTCATGAAGGGTAGGACAGTGCAAGAATGAGCAAAAGATGAATGATTCAATCTCTATTCAATTTAAGAGCACCATATTCAAATAAACCTTTAAGAAAACTAATAATAGACTAAGGGTTCTAGTCAGTCCTTATATAAAAAAGCTTGCCTCCCAGTGAATTCAGGTGCTGGAATTTTTTACTAAATGTTCTCACTACTACAGTTAAAGTTACAATTTCAGCAATCCTCTGAAACCATTTCATCTGCTTAATCAAGTACTATCATTCTCCTTGTGCAAAAATAACTTGGCATCCACGAGCATTTAGGTACTATGGTGATGAGTGCCACATACGTCCCTAACATCTAGATTGATTAGAATGAAAAGGCTATATTTGTGGGATCTTTCATGTCAATACTTAAGTTTATTGAGATGAAATAGACATAAGTATTAGTTTGTGTCATGTCAATACTTAAGTCTATTGAGATGAAAAGGGGTGAATTCCAGCCCCATGTTAAGAACAGGGAGGTGCAAGAGTCCTCATCTGTCAGGTGTAGTCTGAAGCCTGATCAAGTTTAAGTTTCAAAGTGGCACTATGCTAATGCCAGGCTCTTGGAGGCTGTGGATTTTGTGCACTATGGAGCAGATGGTGAAACCTCTGGCAGCGAGGTGTTTGCTTTGGGAACCATGGTCAGGTCTTCAAGCCAGCCACAAATTTGTTGCAAATTACAAATTGCACTAATCACTGCGTGTTTTGGTGGATTCAGGTTTGTTTCTTAAGGATATACAGTGCAGCTTAATAGTGCCTCAGTACAAAGTACATTGTTGCATTTTAGACTTAAATTTACTTCTTTTACCCACAAGCCTATTGATTTTCTCACTGTTCATTTCCCTAATTTATTGATGTCAGAAATTCTTTATCTTAAAACCGTGGCTACACTGTGCATCAGTGGCAAAGCCAGGCTTATAACTCAGGGACTCCTGACTCCCAGCCATGTACTCATTCCTCCAGACCATGCTGCAATGCAGAGACACAGCATTCTGAGCAAACACAGCCTAACTCACAGCAGTGTTGTACCGAGACATCGCATTTTATGGGCTTGAGGCATTAAGACCCTGCTCACATGAGCATGAGGTTATACAGGTTACATCCCCTACACCTCCAGGGACAGGGCAAACTGCAGTACTGTCCTCCACCAGCAGAGAGGAATTTTTAAACTGCTGCTGAGGCTCCATCAGAAACTTGCCACTGAAGTCTACGCAGGAGATATATTGAACTAGCACAGATGGCTTGGCTTTGTCTCATTCCTGGCCAGCCATGCCCACTCTGTGGGGCTGCCTGATGTCTTCAGGCCCTATGGCAGAGTTTAGAGTCTTGGTCACCTTGTTGTATTCTCCATCCCTCTCAGATTGGACCCACAGCATGGGACTGATGGTGAACTCCAAGAGACACCACCCAGTGAATCTGACCCACAGTTTGCAGCCATTTCTTTAGAGCCCTGTTTTCCACAAGTCAATCTTTAGATGTAAACATTGACTTATTTGCATTGTGTATTTTGGAGCTTGAAGGGAAATAGAAGTTTGCTGAGGTAAAACTGAGAGATTGCTAAAAAATTGGCAACTGACTTCATTAATACATTTGAAAGTCAAGGTGCAGTTATTGAAGCATTAATTCAGAAAAATGGCACCCTGCACAGGAGGCTAGAGAATAGAGGAAAAATTTTAGAACAATTGGAATTTATGGATGGTTGGTCTCCCGCCTGCTGGCATTGGGAGCAGAGACTCAAAAGTAAAAGTCTCAGAAATAATTTTAAGAATTATTGAAGTGAAGCTGCATCCTGCAGAGATAACAAAAAAGTTTCCTGTATCCCTAGGAGATATCAATACTTTTCCTTTAAGGGAAACAGGTGCTATGCTGTTCCAAAGACAACAGATCATGATTATGTGCTATTAATTCTACAGACTGCAACTCCAATGAGGGAGAGAGTTTTTCAGGCAGACATAAAAGTGAAAAGACACTTACCTTCAAAAGGCCACTGGATGGATGGTCCTGTGTAAGGTGACCAGGTGTCCGGTTGTTGAAAAAGGACCATGGTGGCTCCGGTCAGCACCACCGACCGGACTGTTAAAGGTCCGGTTGGTGGTGCTGCAACACTAAGGCAGGCTAGTCCCTACCAGTACTGGGGCACCGCACTGTGCCCCAGAAGCGGCCAGTGGGTCTGGCTCCTAAGCAGAGGGCTCCATGCGCTGCCCCCATCCTGAGCACCGGCTCTGCACTGGCCAGTGGGAGCTGGGAGCGGTGCCTGCAGGCGAGAGAAGCGCAAGTGGAGCCTCCCCCCCCCCCCCCCCCGCGCGCATCTGCACTGGAGCTGCTGGCCACTTCCAGTGTGCTCAACGCAGTGTCAGGATAGGCAGACAGCCTGCCTTTGCCCCCTCTGCCGCACCACTGACCGGGAGCCACACCCCAACCTCCTGCTCCAACCCTCAGCCCCCCAAACCTGGAGCCCCCTCCTTAACCCCAAAACCCTCATCCCTGGCCCCAGCCCAGAGCCCTCACCCCCTACACCTCAACCTCCTGTCCCAGCCCTCAGCCCCCCCAAACCTGGAGCCCCCTCCTGCACTTCAAACCCTTCATCCCAAGCCCAGAGCTGCATCCCCATCCCGGAGCCCTTACACATCCCCTCACCCCAACTGCCAGCCCTGAGCCCCCTCCAACCTAGAGCCCCCTCCTGCACCTCAAACCCGTCAATCCCCAGCCCTAGCCCAGAGCCCGCACCCCCATCCCAGAGCCCCCTCCCACACCCAGAACCCTCATGCCCAGCCCCAGCCCCATCCCAGAGCCCTCACCCCTTCCCACACCCAAAGCCCCTGTGAAAGTGAGTGAGGGTGGGTGAGAGCAAGCCACCAAGGGA